GAGTGGTCAGGAATTGAATTCAAGGTCAAGGAAGAAGACTATGAATGGCTCCGCGGTTGCTATGTCGGTACAGCACGTTCCATAGAAATTATACCCAATCTGCAAGAAAAGCTCTACATGGAAGGTTATTTTTCATGTCGGCTCCGTCCTATGGGGGGGAAGCTGGTATTAATGGACTGCGAGGAGAAGGAAGAGCTAAGGGACTTAGTACAGGGGGCAGCAGACTGGCTAGGCCAATGGTTCATAGATATTCAACCTTGGACACCTACAGCAGTGGCAAAGGAAAGATTTGTATGGATGAGATGCCAAGGAGCCCCTCTTCATGCTTGGGGGCCGGAATTTTTTGAAAAAATGGCAGTGACATGGGGTAAGTTCATATGCCTAGATGACAACACAAGCAAGAAATTAAGGTTTGACGTGGCTAGATTCCTAATATCCACGCAAATCATGAATGCAATATCTGTCATGCGGAGAATCAAAGTGAATGGAGACATGTATGATCTGAAATTCTCGGAAGAGGAGCTGGTAAATAGCTTGTTTTCAACAAAGCACGATTTCAAGCCAAATTTCAGCACTGATTCAGAATATAAGGAATCATGGACGGACTGCAATGACTTGGAGCTCAACCATGAAGAAAACGACTGGGGTGTTGATCTGGAACAGCTCGCCAGTGATGGAGAAGAAGAAGGAGAAAACAGGGATTTCAGCCAAATTGACAAACGGTCGACTGCCAATCCGAGAAACGAAGTGGAATTTGAATTTGAAGAAGAAGGGGGTGATGTGAAAGGACGCAAGCTGGTGGATAGCTTCCCCTCTAGCCGGCTGGGTGAAGAACAATCAGTGGAAGTAGTAGCTGATAGTTTTGACAGGTCTACGGAAGCTAGTGATTTAGGAGGGAGAGTTGAGGCTGGTTTATTTGAAAATATTCCACAAAATGAGCTGTCTTCAGACCCTATCGAGAGTTCAGCTGGCAATAACTTGGGCCTACAGCAAAAGCCCAGCTCAGAGGCCACATGCCAAGCCCGTGACAATGAACAACAAGTGGGAGGGCAGATATGGGCTAACCAGTTGAATGATACAACCAAAATTATGGAAAATGAGTCCAGAATTGAGCAAGAATCTGTTCCGCAGCGTGAGCAACAGCAGCAGAGGCAAGTGAAAAAAGGGGAGTCGTTGGGAAACAATAGAGAGTTTTGGGCAGATTTGCAAAGTGAGGAAGAAAGCGAAAAAGGGTGGATGGTTGCAAGTAACAAAGATCGAAAAAAAAGAAAAAAGAAGAGAGCAAAGTCGTGCAAAGCTGTGTATCAAAAAGCAAGTCTTCAACGAATTTTGATGCAGAGAGAGAAGAACAGATCTGCAGTAAAAGAGAAGAAAGCATGGCGAGAAGACATCCCAAAGTTTCAGCCGGGCATGAACAATGAAGTTGCAGGGGGTTCGGTGGGAGATAGTGGTATACAGAATCGAAATAGATTGTTGAAGGAACACC